GAATCCGGGAATACTGCTTGGAGGTTCCTTTCCATTGTTCCAAGCATCCCACATTTCCATTAGTCGCAAGCGCAAGATTCGATTTTCTTCAGCTGTAAAAGATTCAGAGGCCGGGACCCCCGAGATGGGGCTATCTTCAGAAATGGGGACTGCGGGCAAAGTCATTTCTGTAGACATTTCCACACTTCCTTTTGATCTGGTAAAGTATTGATGCGATGACAGCTTACCACAACCAACCACCGTTTCTAAAAGCTAGGCTGGATTGAGCAACACACGGTTAGTTTGAAACAAACAACAGATAGGTAATCGCACATTGGGGTGTGATGCACTTATACAGTTAAACAGATGTCTACATATTTGCACTGGTTGCATGTGTCATCCCGGCTTTCTTTTCTTTTGCTTTCTTTTCCTCTCTCTCTCTTTTTTTTCATTTTTTCCTCCTCCTTGTTTTTCGTTTTCCGCTTTTCCTTTTCTTTTGCCATGGTTTTTCTTTCTATATTTTATTATTTCTCTTTCTGCCATTTCTTTCTCTCTTGTTTTTCTTCCCCCCATATTTTAGGTTTACGGTCGAATCCGATGGAGATTGCCTACGTATCATGACCCCGCATGAATCAGACCAAGCGTAGTTCTTGCAAATAGATGAGAACTCAAATGCAAGAAATAAAGAAACAATTTTATTTTTTGGGAATTTTCAAATTTTCATTAATAACAAAAGGCAATTACAAAGCTACTAGACTATTTTTTTTTTTGGAAATGAAAACTACAAAACTAGACATGAAAACTACAGCCTCAAGAGTACATCAAAGCTTCAAATCCCGGGGCCCGCGGGGCATCACTCGGCATCGCCGCGGGCCTGCGTGCAAGACCCTTTTGCAACTGATCTAAATCGTTCATGACCTGGCGAACAAATATCATCGCGGAGGTAAAGAATGTGGTACGACCCATACGTTCACCAGCCTGACACTTCATGACAATATAGTTGGCAATGTTTATGATTCTCTCCCGGATTTGACCCTTCTCTTGGAGTAGCCGGCTTATCTGTTGAGTGCGGGCTTCTAGTACCTGCGAATCCTGGAAGTGAAGATCCTGTAACAATTTTAGCTCCTTCTCCATATCGGCAATTAATTCATAGCATCATTCCCTCTCGGACTGTAGCTCTTTCTCCCGACGGGCTGCCTTTTCTTCAAAAGTGTTCATTTTCCTTTTCATGTTGGCAATGGTCCCCTCATAGTTTTTCTTCATTTGCTGTACAAACTGGGCCCTTTCCTCTGTCTTTTTTGCCCATTGAGCCCGAAGTTTTGCCATACTTCCCTCGGATTTTTCCAGTTCTTCCTGACAGTCCAGGACTTGTTTCTTTAATCCCCTTATCAATCTTTCGTCAGACGGACTTCTTTCTCTATTCCTTGCATCTAATTTCAATTGTTGAATTTGGATCTTGAGAGCTTCATTCTCTTGGGCCAATTGCTTTTTATCACCTTCATCGGCTGCGGCTTGCAAGCTGTTTTCGAACCGAAGCTCCTGAACCTGTTTTTCCAATGCGCCAATCCGAGCTCTATACTCTTTTTCTTTAGCCAACCAATCCCACTGCACCCGAGCCTCGTTTGTTAATTGTTGCACATGCGGCCTTTTGGCGGGTCTCTCGGGGATTTGAAACCTTTTACCAAACCAAACCAAATATTTGGGGTCTACTTCACCTCTGGCCCGGTCCTGTACTATAGTTTTAGGCTCAAGATA